CGGGACCGGAGGAGAGCTGCGCCGCAGACCCAGGTCGGAGTTCCAGCCCCGTCGGGGCCGCCGACGCCGAGATCAGCAGCACCCCACGCTCCCCGGAGGTGGCGCCTGCGTCCGCGGCCGCCGGGCCGGAGGAGCGGGACTCGGGCCGGTACTCGGTGTCGCCTCCCGGAGCGGGGAGCTCACCGGGGGACGGAGGCGGAGGCTCCCCTCCCGGTGCACCTCCGGATCCCGACTGGGAGTCTCCCCTAGTGGGCGGGGACGCGCGCGGAGATCACATCACCGAGGCGCGCGAGGAAGCGGAGGGGCCGGGAGGCGAACCCTCAGACCCAGCCATGGGCGGCCCGGGCACCCCAAGCGGCACCCCTCGGTGTCCGCCTGTGCAGTGTCATCAAGATGAAGATTGCTTGACTCTGTTAGTCCGCGTGCCTCGGATTCAGCCGCAGAGTCTGCGCGGGGAGCTGACTCCTCTCCACTATAAACTGTGCTTCTCCACGCCAGACTCCGTTTATTCCTTCCTTTTGCAATTTGCTCTAGGCAATAAGTTGAGTCCCGAAGAACCCGCGGTTAGCCTTTCTTCAGACAACGCGGTCATAGTGTTGGCCAAGTCTCCAGACAGCCGTGGATACTGGCGAGAGTGGTATTGGGGTTTAAACGACGCTTCTTTGGAGGTAACTAAGAACCTTTCCTTTTGAAATACTACATCTCGTTTTTCAAGTCGGCAGTCTGTTTGTTGTAAAGCGTTTTCCATAACAACTCACATGATGAAAGGTAGAGCTGTTAAATCTATTTTTTTATTTGGTTTTATTTATTTTTGTGCTGATCCTTGGGCCCCGGGCCAAGTCCTATAGCTTTTCACTCCAGGCTGGCGCTCTACCACTTGAACCACAGCTTCACTTCTAGCTTTTCGGTGGTTAATTGGAGATGAGTCTCATGGACTTTCCTGTCCAACCGTGATTCTTAGATCTGTACCTCTTGAATAGCTAGGATTACAGGCGTGTGAGCCGCCAGCACTCAGCCTTACATGTGTTTCTCAAAAAAGGCAGTTTACAGATTTACAAATGGGTTTCCAATCTTCTGATTGCCTTACGTGCAGCTTTTTCCTCGTGGCCTGTTGGCGCCAAGGGAGACTAAATGGATTCCCTCTCAGTGATCCTAGTCCTCTAGAGTTGTATGCTTAACGTTAGAGCTTTTTTTCTGTCTCCTGGCAAAAAGGGGTGTAACGTTAGCCCTCCTCGTTGAAGTGGAACATTTAAGACGCACCCCAAATTGGCCATACTTTTAACTTATTCGACCCCAGAAATTTCTGTAAGTAATAATGTATTTTCTGGAGAGGAAATGCAAGTCAGTACCACACATTACTCACAAGACGAAATAAACTCAGACCCAGTCCCATGCCCTTACTACCATAGGGTACTGCTTACATAAAGTCTCAGTTGCTGATTTTGGAGAACTTGTCCTGCAATGAGCATATACTACACCAGAGCTTTTCTCCTTGCTTTTGTTTGAATTATCGTTGGGGCCCTGTGGCATTAACTAGGTGTAATTAATATTTGTTGAACTGAACTGTTCGACAAAAAGTGCTTCTGGACAAATACTAGAAGTGGATAAGAATTATCTAGTCTACTTAGGATAACATGTTTTAGAATAAATTATTGTGGTGGTATCATTTGAACTCAGGACTTTCAAACTTGGTAGGCATACACTTGAGCCACACCTCAGGCCTAGGGTAAAAATTTCAGGTTCTTTGATTCCAGATTCAATACTCTACTGTTACTGGCAAATATTGAAAAACTTGTTTTGTTTTGCTTTGCTTTGTTGTTCATGAAGGTTGTTGAAGGGCCTTGGCACTGTCCCTGAGTGTTTGTGCTCAAAGCTAGTGTAGTTAGGATTACAGGCATGAACCATGGATACCTGCATTTGAAAACTGTGTAAAAAGTTTGAAATTGTATCGACTTTAAGCTCAAAAAGGGCCATTGATGATATTTTTATTGAGGTTTGTAATAAAGTCAGTAACTTTTTTTTTTGTCAGTCATGGGGCTTGAACTCTGGGCCTAGGTGCTGTCCCTCAGCTCTTTAGTTCAAGGTGAATGCTCTACCACTAGAGCCACAGTGCCACCTCTGGTCTTCTAGTGGTTTATTGGAGATAAGAGTGTCACGGACTTTCCTGCCTGGGCTGGCTTGAAACTGTGATCCTCAGATCTCAGCCTCCTGAGTAGCTAGGATTGTAGGCATGAGCCACCGGTGCCCAGCTGTAACTTTTACATCTATCTATCTATCATCTATCTATCTATCTATCTATCTATCTATCTATCTATCTATCTATCTATCTATCATCTCTATTTATGTGATACTGAGGAATGGAACCCAGGACTTCATGCATGCTAGGCAAACACTACCACTGAGCCACCTCCCCAGCCCAACTTTTACTTTTAAAACAAACAAAACGGGCTGGGAAGGTGGCTCAGTGGTAGAGCACTTGCCTTGCATGCATGAGGCCCTGGGTTCGATTCCTCAGCACCACATAAGCAGAAAAAAAAAGCCGGAAGTGGCGCTGTGGCTCAAATGGTAGAGCGCTAGCCTTGAGCTGAAGAGCTGAGGGACAGCGCCCAGGCCTAGAGTTCAGGCCCACGACCAGACCCAAAAAAATAAATAAAACAAACAAAACATGTTAAGAATCAGGGCTAAGAATGTGGTGAAGTGGCAGAGTGACTTGGCTCTATTCAGTTCCCAGAAACAACCCTATGATGATAGCTACTCAGGAGACTAAGATTGGAGAATTGTTGTTCAAATCAGTGTAGGCAGAGAAGTCCATAGACGAATCTCCAATTAGCCAAAAGCCAGATGTAGAACTGTGTGTGACTCAAGTGGTAGAGCACCAGCATGAGCTGAAAAAGCTGCCAAGCAAGAGTTCAAGGCCCTAGGTTTAATCCCATTTTCTGTCTCTTTCTTTCTCTCTTTCTTACACACACAGAGTATTATTTGACCTTGAGCTTTAGCCTGCTAGAATTGTCTATTTCCTGTTGTTTTCCTAGAAATTTGCTAATGTTGCAGCTGCATATTAAGTTAGCTATCTGTAGGAAGTAGTTAACTCAAAGCCCTCCAAAAATGATATTTGTGCTAATATATTTTTGAGAATATAAATCTTAAAATTGAATATGTTTATGTCATCAGAAGGGGGAAATTTATGAAAGAACATTTTCCTGTGCTGTGGCTCAAAGTAATAGACTGCTAGCCCTGAGCACATAAGCTCAGGGACAGCACCCAGGCCTTGAGTTCAAACCCATGACTGGAAAAAAAATATAAGTCACTACATAATGACTCTAACAACATGTTTATTATATGAAAATAATCATAATAGAGACCTTTTTGGCTCTTAAGATCAGAATTCATTTTACACATAAAAAAGTACTAAATTAAGTTTTAGTTTTATATATTCACTGAAGATTTTCCTAGAGCTTCAGGGTCAAGGACTTTAACCACTCTTATATGAAATAGTCATAAAATATGTAAATTTTCTGCATTTTAATCATAACCATTTCCACTGTAAATATTTTGTTTAGGTTGACTAAGAAGAATACAGTATCTTTTTGTAGTGAGGCAAAGAGGAATATCTTTTTCACAGGTCTAAACCTTAGAAATGCTTTTGATGCTTCTATAATGTAGCAGACATTCTGGATCTTTAAGTAACAGCAAGGCATATTACTCTAAATGTACAAGTTTTGTTTCTAAGGTTTACAGGTGTTCACAGTTCAAATATGGTTTAATAGAAGAGAAACTGAAACTTTGTCTCTGATTTTCCCCCTTATTTTTACCACCTGGAAAGCAGAATATTGTTTCCTTCTATTTTAGGAAAGGTTGTTTGTCAGTGAAGAAAATGTTGATGAGTTTCTTGAAGAGGTCTTGAGCTCTCCATCGAAACAGGCAACTTCCCGAACCCCACCTTTAATTGAAGTACTTAATGTTACTGATGAAAAGATTGAAATTCATGCAAAGGTAAGATTTTGGTGGGCTTTATAGAGTGATTCCTGGCAAGGTTAAAGCCTAACAAAAAATTTCAGTTCTTTTTTGTGTGTGTGTGTGTGTGTTTGTTGCTTTTTTAGGTTTTTTTTGTTTTGTTTTGCTTTGTTTTGTTCTGGTCCTCTGTCCCTGAGTTTTTTGTTTGTTTGTTTGTTTGTTTCCTCAAGGCTAGTGCTCTACTGTTTGAGCCAGAGCTCCACTTCCAACTTTTGGTGATTAATTGGAAATAGAGTCTTATGAACTTTCTTGCCTGGGCTAGCTTTGAACCATGATCCTCAGATCTCAGTCTCCTGAGTAGCTAGTGGTTCCTTGCTTTCTTTCTTAAATCATAGAGATTATGTCATGGAACTTGTTCATTTTTCAGTAAACCTTAAGTTTGGTCATTTTTATAGTCTTCAGTATTAGGCCTGAAAATAAGTACAACTGGCTAACATATGAGTTGGGGCAAGAATAGTTTTAAAGAATAATAGGTGCTGATGGCTCACACCTGTAGTCCTAGCTATTCAAGAAGCTGAGATATGGGTATCACAGTTCAAATACAGCCCAGGCAGGAAAGTCTATGAGACTCTTATCTCCAATAAACCACTCAGAAAACCAGAAGTGGCTCTGTGGCTCAAGTGGTAGAGTGCTCCCCTTGAGCTGAAGAGCTCAGGAACAGAGCCCAGGCCCAGAGTTCAAACCCCACGACCGACAAAAACAATAATAAAATAATTGTCGGGGCTGGGAAGGTGGTTGGTTCAGTGGTAGAGTGCTTGCCTTACATGCATGAGGCCCTGGGTTTGATTCCTCAGCACCACATAAACAGAAAAAGCCGGAAGTGGCGCTGTGGCTCAAGTGGTAGAGCACTAGCCTTGAGCTGAAGATCTGAGGGACAGCGCCCAAGCCTAGAGTTCAGACTCCATGACCGAACCCCCCCGGTCTTCAAGTACTGGAATAAAAAAAAAAGGTCAGCATTTGGAGGATATCTGAGGAAGGGTTATTAACACCCAAACTTAAAAAAAATCTGACTCTCAGAGAGTCCTACAATTATTTTTCTTTGCTAAAAAGACTTACTAATGGACTGGGAAGGTGGCTCAGTGGTAGAGCGCTTGCCTTGCATGCCTGAGGCCCTGGGTTCGATTCCTCAGCACCACATAAGCACAAAGAAAAAGCTGGAAGTGGTGCTGTGGCTCAAGTGGTAGAGCTATAGCCTTGAGCTGAAGAGCTGAGGGACAGCGCCCAGGCCCAGAGTTCAGGCCCCACTACCGGACCAAAGAAAAAAAGACTTACTAATTTATTCTTTTTCTCAATACAGTTGCTAGAATGTAGTAATCCTGATCAGTTTCAAGAAAAGGAAAGAAGCCTCAGTGAAGGAGGTCATCTAACTGAAAAAGACAACCTGGAACATCTTACAACTGATTCTGATTCATCTGTAGCACTTAAAGAACTAAAAATAGATACTTGTGATTTAGTAACAGGCTTGGAACCAGGATCTCTTAATGATTCTCAGATACTATTGGAAAAATGTAAGCAACCCAAGGCAAACATGGAACCTGAATTTACAAAAGAAAAAAGTGCTACTTACTCAAATGAGGAAAAAGACAATTTAGAAGTGATAACTAAAGAAAAAGAATTCAGTGGAGATCAGTTATCTTCATTGCTGAGCGGAACAGTAGTTCACAAGATACCTGATGTTGATAGCATCAAAGAAACCAACATGCAGGATGGCAGTGTGGAGATTATTAAAGATCATGTGACACACTGTGCTTTTAGCTTTCAGAATTCTTTGCTATATGACTTGGATTAATACTATTTAGGAATATAAATGTTAAGAGTAAATTTTTTTAACCTAAAATAACTTCTTTGTGTTAACTATGCAGACTAAAACATGTAGTTATATCATCTGTATATATGGACATGTGTTGGAATTTCATACTTTTGTTTACCATTTAATAAAAGTTTCAAAATATTCACTCACTGTCACAAATTCTAAAGAATGCAGTTAACTAGAAATATGAGTGTATGTGTGTGGGAGGAGAATCCCAAATAGAACTTCCTAATAAATATGAATGATCTGAGCTGGGAAGGTGGCTCAGTGGTAGAGCACTTGCCTTGTATGCATGAGGCCCTGGGTTTGATTCCTCAGCACCACATAAGCAAAAAGAACAAAAAAGCCGGAAGTGGCGCTGTGGCTCAAGTGGTAGAGGGCTAGCCTTGAGCTGAAGAGCTGAAGGACAGCATCCAGGCCCAGAGTTCAGGCCCCACAACCGGACCCCCCCCAAAAATATATATATATATGATCTACAATTATAATTATGATGAAATTTTATTCTAAAATGTATTTTACTCTTTAGATCTATCACACAAGTTATACCAATGAGTTTAAGGTAATCATTTTCAAAATTCAGCTTCTACTATTTTTCTGGATTTTTGAGACAGGATCTTAAGTATGTAGTATAGACTAGCCTCAAACTGTTTTTTGTTTTTGTTTTTTTGTTTTTTGTTTTGGCTGTCATGGAGCTTCAGCTGAGGGCCTGGATGCTTGCCCCTGAGCTCTTGCTCAAGGCTAGCTTTTTACCACTTTGAGCCACAGTGCCACTTTCAGTTTTCTGGTGGTTAATTGGAGATAAGGGTCTCACAGACTTTCCTGCCTGGGCTGGCTTTGAACTTCAGATCTCAGCCTCCTGAGTAGCTAGGATTACAGGCATGAGCTACCAGTGCCTGGTTTAGCCTCAAATTCTTGATCCTCCTGCTTTAGCCTCCCAAGTACTGAGATTATAAACCTGTCCAACCTTGGTTTTATAGAACACATTTAAGAATTAAAACTAAAAAAACTGGCAACTTGGCTGGGCAGCAGTGGTTCATGCTTGTAATCCTAGCTTCTCAGGAGGCTGAGATCTGAAGATCACAGTTCAAAGCCAGGCCTGGGCAGGAAAGGCCGTGAGACTATTGCCAATGAACCACTAGAAAACCGGAAGTTGGTGTTGTGGCTCAAGTGGTAGAGTGCTTGCCTTGAGCTGAAGAGCTGAGGGACAGTGCCCAGGCCCTGAGTTCAAGCCCCACACCTGAAAAAAAAAAAAAAGTATTGGGGGACTGGTGATGTGGCTTAGTGGGAGTGCTTGCCTAGCATGCATGAAACTCTGGGTTTGATTTCTTAGTACCATATAAACAAAAAACCGGAAGTAGTGCTGTGGCTCAAGTGGTAGAGTGCTTACCTTGAGCAGAAGCAGCTCAGGGACAGTGCCTGAGTTCAAGTCCCAGAACTGGCAGGGAAAAAAAAAAGTTTGGGATAGCATGAAAGAAAAATATTTGTTAATAAATTACCCTAAGGCTAATATCTAATATATTTCTGTGCCAGGTAAGGCTACTAAATTAGACTGGAAAACATCTAATTTTTTTTAGTCCTTTGAACTAGTAATAGGTCAGAAAACCAAGAATTTATAACCCCTTTGTCCCATAAAAACTAGCATTAAGAGCTGGGAATGTATCACAGTGGTAGCATAATGGCTTAGCATGCACAAGATCTTGTAATCTCAACTATCCAAGATGCTAAGGAGAGAGGATTCTAAGTTCAAGGCCAACATAGGCTATAAACCAAACCAAAACTGGCATCAGCTGGGCACTGGTTGCTTATGCCTGAATCCACTATTAGGAGGCTGAGATCTAAGGTTCAAAGCTAGCTGGGGTAGAAATTGAGACTCATCTCTAAGTTAGCCACTCAACAATTGGAAGTGATTCAGTGGCTCAAGTCGTAAGAGTGCTAGCCTTGAGCACACAGAGGCCCAGGGACAGCATCCAAACCCTGAGTTTGGGCCCCACAACTGACAAAAAGAAAAAAAAATAACTGGCACCATATTGAGAAGTGAGAATTGTATTAAAAAAGGTATTAAAGTGAGAGAACTATGCCTTAGACTAGCACATGCATTTGTTAGCCACACAACACAGTAGTAACAGTTCCCCTAGGTAGGTTGACTAACAGTAAAATCTTTACACAGAAATTAGTCTACTTTGAGTAAGTTTTGACTGATTTTACATTATGGGAAACTTAGCTGGGCGCTGGTGGCTCACGCCTGTAATCCTAGCTACTCAGGAGGCTGAGATCTGAAGATCGAGGTTCAAAGCCAGCCCAGGCAGGAAAGACTGTGAGACTCCTATCTCCAATAAACCACCAGGAAACCGGAAGTGGCACTGTAGCTCAAGTGGTAGAGCGCTCACCTTGAGCTGAAGAGCTGAGGGACAGCGCCCAGGCCCAGAGTTCAAGCCCCATGACTGACAAAAAAAAAAAAATTATGGGAAACTTCTGTAGTAAAGTTTAAGCCTACTTCCTATTTTTTACTGCATCTGTCAAGAAAAAAGATTTGAGATCTGAGGATGTAGTGCAGTGGGAGAGCATTTGCCTAACATGTACAAGGTCTAGGTTCAATCCCCAACACTGAAAAAAAGTATGATTTCATAAGATTGGTATAAGAACATGAACTTTGGCACACTGAACTTTGTATCATTTCTGGCCTTCAAAAACAATTTAGACTGCATTTCCCTTACAGAGCAGCTTTTTATTGCTCATTATCTATGGCTGGCCAATTTGAAAGCCAAATAGTTTCCTCCATATGGAATACTGTCATGAGCATGGTTTTGAATTCATATACTGTGTGTAACTGGTCCAACTTCTACAATGCCTTTATTGGTGGAAGAAATAAAACTGCAAAATGATTAGGAACTTTTTTATGCAAAAATGAGTATTTTATTTTGGCAGCACTAAAGAAAAAAAAATCAAAACCACTGTATTTCTACATTGAGGTGAAAATGTTTAAACTTTCTCATCAAATACATTCCAAAAGAAAGTGTGTTCTATGAAGGTTCCAAAGCACAGGCAAATCTTAACACAATAGTACAGGAATCCTTAATACTGAAAATAACTGTTCAGACAGGGTGTTTAACAAATGTAATTTCTGAGTTATTAAACCAATAGAGTAATCCTTTCCTAACAACAATGTCAAGAGTGAAACTGCTGTTCCATTAATACTCTTAATGATTTCATTTTAATACTTTTAACTGCTATGGCAGTTTTAAATAAACTTTGTTGTACTTAAAATAAGTTTCAAAAGTGGAAAAGTGTACAAAGTTTCTGATAAAAAGATTAACAGATGCAATTTAAATAAAATTCCCCCTTTCCTCATATCAACTAATAATAATCATTATCTTCAGCAGATACAGACTGAGCTTTTAAACCCAATTTCCAAAATGAAAACTTGTTTTTAAATTTTGATCAGACATAACTGGAAAAGATTACTATATATTTGGACATCTTTTACAAGAATTTCTTTGTATTAAAGCAGAAACCAGGTCCTAAACTCTTTTATCTAATTGTATGTCCTATTGAAACAAATATCAAAAATAGAAGACTGTCATTTTTGCTTTCTTTTTTTTCCTTTACTGCAGTCTTCTATAACTTTTACAGAGTTCATGGTCCCTAATATCTCCCCACCCTCCATTTTTCCTGGGTGGGGAAATGGCTGCCATAGTGAATTTCTCACTGATTATCAAAGTTTCTGGGAACATGTACTGTTTGTTATTATTTAAGAGTAACTCAATTTGGGCACTCTGGGTGGATGGCCTACATGTTTTCTTGTGATGCATACCACAGTCTCCAGCATGAAAAATCCTAGGAGCTTGAGGAACCATCACTTTCCAGAATTTTGGAAGACAAGTTACAGTCAGATATTGAAGAGTCCAGTCCCAGTTATAATCATCGTAAGTACAGAAAGTGTCTGTGCACTCTATCAGCTTCTGATATGCATCCCGGGTCAAAGCTAACCCCATATTGTGCTCTGTAGATTTCCAAGCTTTGACATCTACCTTGTCAGCGATGCCGTAGAAACTACGACTGGCAGTGTAGGTCCCCAGGGAGAGAACATCACACTCAGGACACTCTTGCTGCTTCAACTTCCACATCTTTTTGAAGACATGGTAAAAGTCTGGGGCTAGGTAGTGATCCTCTTCCAAGAAAAGTATTAGGCCAGAATAATCTTGAAGAACTTTGACCCTTTCCCATACAAAATGCAGCTTCCACCACCAATGATGTTTTGTTTGGGAGAACTTGGCCTCTCGATAATGGCCAAAAGAGTCAGGATACTCGGCATTAATGCACCCCAATTTCAAAGCTGCACTCTTCTTTACATCTCTGGGGCAATCTCTGGGGTCACTGCCAGGAAACTCATTGGGATACAACTGAATGCTGAAAGGAAAGAACACCTGCAGAACCGGACAGAAATCCACTCCAGCGATCAGCTGATTGATCTCTGTCGACCAGAAGTCGTGGCTAAAGATGACGAGGACGTTATCAATGCCCTGGGCTTTGCGAAGTGAGTCCAGCAGCATTTTGAGGTATTCGGGTCGGTTGTGCACCTGGACCACCAACACCAGCTCCTGGGGGGCCCAGGTGCCGGTCTTCTCGACATTCCTCAGCGTCTGATCAAAGTTCAGCTGGTACACCAGGGACCGGTACCGCAGCGTCAGGTTGTCCGCCTCGGGCTGCGGGACCGCGGGGACCAGAGGAGCCGCCGATTCGTTGGAGACCCTGCGGATACCCATCGACACGGCGAGATGGTCTCCGCCGCGGCCGCCCGCACGGGGTGCGGGCTCGGCGGCGTCCAGCAGCGGCGGGGCGAGGGCCTCGTTCTTCCTTTGTCGCCCATTGCTGCTCCAGAGGACGAAGCCGCAGGCGGCCACCACGAGCGTCAGGATTAGCACCTTCCGTTTGTAAATGCGGAACCTCATGGTCTCCAGGGCCAGCGATGGCCACGGAAAGGGGCTGGCGGCCTCTGCTCGGAAGGGGCGGGCGGGCGGGCGGCGGCCGCAGCGCTGGCCTGTAGCCGTAGGAACTGCCCCCCCACCCCGCGGCTGCCCTCGCTAACTCATCCCGGGCCCCGGAGGTCCTGGGGCCCGAAGGCGCTCAGCCGCCCCGCGCTGCCCGGGCTCCGCACATTCTCGCCTGGCAAGCGGCAGCTGGAGCTGCGGCCCCGCCGCTAGGAACCACGGCTCGGCGTCGTCTCGGTCCTTTCCATTCAGCACCACGGGTCCCGGAAGAAGCCCAGCTGCCGTTCTACCGCACCCTGGTGTCTTTACCTGCGCCTCCGGCGGCCCTGCGTCCTCCGCACTCTCATCCTCACTCGGGCCCCTGGCCGCCCGTACCCGAAGACGCAGCCTCGCCTCACTCCGGTGGCGACCGTTCTGACAACCCGCTTACTGGCCCGCGAATCGCCGCGGCCCTTCGGCCCACACCCCTCCAGCCCGCCCCCAGGGCAGTTTATTGGTGCTTTCCAGAGGTATTTAGGGACGCCTTGCCGTAGGAGGCGGCCGCTTATTGGCTGGTTGTCCTGCCACTCAAGCTCAGTTCCCACTTCCGCTCCCCTCGTCCTTTTCCTCAGAGCTGCGTGAGGCGCGTGTCGTGGTCTCCGGGTCTCCCGGTAAGTAGGGGAGGGCGGCCGTACCGGCTTTTTTTTTAGGGGCTCTGTGGGTTCAGGATCTCGGGGAGGACTAGGCCCCTGTGGGGAAGCGAAGGGTAGGTCCGGCGTCCTGGCTTGGTTGGGCCCGGGAGCTGGCTCAGCCTTGGGCAGCGGCGCGGGAGCATGGCGGCTGTGGAGCTGCGGTGTCCACGTCAGCTTTCCGGGCTGCTGGCGGGGCTGCGGAGGGGAAGCGCGAAGCCGGAGCGGCGCGGCCCTTGGGCGGGCGCGTCGGAGCCCGGGTGGCCGTAGGGTCCGGCCGTGGGCCTACCCGCGAGCTAGAAAATGGAGGAGGCGGTGGCGGTCTGCAGGAGGAAACCCTCGGCTGTGTTCTCTGCGCGGCCCAGGAGTTAGGCGTTGAGGGAGCTCACTCCTCCGGGCCGGGTCTCCAGCCTCCCGAGTCCCGGGCTGCAGGCGGGCACCGCCACGCCCGCCTTCGTTATGTTTTAGTCTCATGTAATGTCAGTTTTCGCCTCTGCGCGCGGTGCTGGAGAGCCGGCCTTAAGGCCTCGCAGTCTACCACCATGCTATAGCCCCAGACCTAGCCAGTAACGTAAGCATCCCAAAGAGGTGTTCACTTGTTAGGAGTTTATTCGTGTGGAAAACGAGCACTTGATGAATTGATACTGTCGATGATCGATTTTAAAAAAAAAAAATCTTGGCCTTTTCATGTTTCAGAGTGTTAAATGTTGTCTTAATTTGCTCTCATCTTGTGCAGACAGCTCTACTACAAAGATGGTCAACGTACCCAAAACCAGAAGGACTTTCTGTAAGAAATGTGGCAAGCATCAGCCTCACAAAGTGACCCAGTACAAGAAGGGCAAAGATTCTCTATATGCCCAAGAGAAGAGGCGCTACGATCGGAAGCAAAGCGGCTATGGTGGGCAGACCAAGCCAATATTCCGAAAGAAGGCTAAAACCACCAAGAAGATTGTGCTGAGGCTTGAATGTGTTGAGCCTAACTGCAGATCCAAGAGGATGCTGGCCATCAAGAGATGCAAGCATTTTGAACTGGGAGGAGATAAGAAGAGAAAGGGCCAAGTGATCCAGTTCTAAACTTTGGGAGGAGGAGGGGGGTGGGGGTCTTAATTTTGAGGGGAAGATCTTGAAGTTATAAAATTACCTGATGGAAAACTAATAAATCTCAGAAAATACCCAAACTTTCTAAGTGTTCTTTTGTTTTTTTGCTGGTCCTGGGGCTTGAACTCAGGGCCTGGGCTCTGTCCCTGAGCCTCTTTTGTCCTCAAGGCTAGCGCTCTTTTCTGTGGTACTGTGGAATTGAACCCAGAGCTTCATGCTTGCTAGATAAGCACTCTACCAGCTAAGCCACATTCCCAGCCTACATATCTTTTCCAATATGGTTCTTAAGAACATTATAAATTCTTAGGGAGTGAGCTCGTTTTTCTTCAGAAATTGTTTACATTCATTCAGCTCCCAGAAGTTGGCATTTTTGCTTGGCACCTGTGGCGCACAACTGTAATCCTAGCTACTCAAGAGGCTGAGATTTGAAGATGGTATGTATGTCAAGGCCAGTTTGCCTAGTCCATGAGATTTACTCTCCAATTAATCACCAAAAAGCTGGTAGTGGAGCTGTGGCTAAAGTGGTAAGAGTACTAGCCTTTAGCACAAAAGCTCAGGGACGCCTAGGCGGAGCTCAAGCACTGTTGGGTCTTCATCCGTCTTTGGACGGCCAGGGTCGAGGAGAGGTGGGAGAGGTAAGTGGGGCCACTTGCCCTTTCCCCAGCCTCCCTTAGCCCAGGAGACAATCAGAGGCAGCTGGGAGTCCTAAGTCAAGCAGGAACTCTTATTAACAGGGAGCATCCCCTTTTTAAAGCAAAAGACTGCGTGGGAGGAGAGGAAATGGGATCAACCAATCACTGAAAGGCCACACCTTATCATGCACCTAAGCTTCCATGAGTAGTTTACACACTGAACTTGAACAAATCCAGCTCTGCCCACTCAACTTCCTCTCAGGGCCATCTTTGCTACAAAGCACTAGTACCAACACAAAAGAGTTGGTATTTTCTGCTTATAAGGAAGACATTGAGTTGTGCCTCACACTTTACAACCAGGTTACGCTAAATGATAACAGGAAAAATATTTTCAGAGGTTCTTCTGATCTATTAATCCATTCTACCCTTTTTTCACCTGAGGATGGTTTCTAGACTCCCAGTAGATGCCTGAAACCTGGAATAGTACTCTTAATTTTTCCTATGTATATGTTTGTACATACAATAAAGTTCAATTTATAAATTAGGTATTGCAAGATTAAGAATAACAGCCAGAGCCAGTGGCTCATGCCTGTAATCTTAGCTACTGGGAGGAAATCTGAGGATCCATTGTTCTGAAGCCAGCTGGGCAGGAAACTTCATGCTCTACTCCAACTGCCATTGGCTTGCTCATGGACAGTACACACACACAAAAAAAGTTGTCAACATTACCACTCTGGTACTTTGGGGTCATTAAGTAAAATAAGGGTTACTGGAACAAACTGCCCTATTGAGACAGTTCATCCTTTAACATTACTACTGAACAATTAAATATATACTGGGCAAGTGGTTCATGTCCCAGGCAGGATGCCTAGTTCAGAATGGCAATTTAAAACTTAGAGGATGGGGGGCTGGGAAGGTGACTCAGTGGCAGAGTGCTTGCCTTGCATGCATGAGGCCCTGGGTTCAATTCCTCAGCACCACATAAGCAAAAAGAAAAAAGCCGGAAGTGGCGCTGTGGCTCAAGTGGTAGAGCTCTAGCCTTGAGCTGAAGAGCTGACAGGACAGTGCCCAGACCCAGTTTAGCCCCCATGACCGGACCCAAAAAAAAATAAAAAAATAAAACTTAGAGGAGTTAATTCATTTCCACACAGCAGCAGATCTTATTAACAGACCATAAACAGTATGTCAGGTTAAGTTCTGTACCACTAAACTATATCCTCAGCCCTGAGTAAAAGCTTCAGTAATTTAACAGTTTAAACAATCTTTACTTGGGAATACTTGTGTTTTCAGGGAAATGAGTCCCAAATACAAAACATTTTTTATTTTTTTTTAATTTTATTTTCGGGTCCAGTCGTGGGCCTGAACTCTGGGCCTGGGCGCTGTCCCTCAGCTCTTCAGCTCAAGGCTAGCACTCTACCACTTAAGCCACAGCGCCACTTCCGGCTTTTTTCTTATGTGGTGCTGAGGAATCGAACCCAGGGCCTCAGGCATGCAAGGCAAGCGCTCTACCACTGAGCCACCTTCCCAGCCCTCAAATAAGAAACATTTTTATACAGATGGTTAATTTGTAAATACAGAGAACCTGCCTCCAATCCCAGAACAGTAGTGTACTACTACTACTACAGCAAGTTTTCCCCAGTAGCTTTATTTACAACAATAAATTCTGAAGTTATTCCAGTGGTTTAGTAGGGTGGGCAATGGGAAGAGAACAACATAGTACTGAAAACTTTCCAGGATTATTTCAAGTTCATTTCTTTGTTCTACATCCCCACCTGAAGAGCTGAGGGACAATGCCGAGGCCCAGAGTTCAAGTCCCATGACTGACAAAAAAAAAAAAAAGCTTTATATATATTTCATAACCTGAAGGTAATCTCACAGTATTTTCAGCATACCAAAACAATTATGTTTTGACTGGGACCTCTCATTGGAGAATACGTTGTAGAATTTTCTACTTGTAGCATGTCAGTGCTCAAAATATTTTGAATTTTGGAGCATTCTGGACATTAGAAATGTTCAACCTGTATGTAGTTTTAATACTAAACAAATGTTCACTGTGATTGAGAATATTAGGCAGGCAGAGCATATTATTTGTATACAAAAATTCAATTTCCCTCACTGAAATTCAAAAAAGTTGATTCTTAGAACCAGGATGATTAGAATCAATATCAATTTAACATTAAAAGAATACTATGGGGTCAGGTGCTGGTAGTTCATGTGTGTAATCCTAGCTACTCAAGAGGCTGAAATCTGGTTCAAAGCCAGGCTGGGACAGAAGTCTGAGACTATCTCTACTGAACCAACAAAAAGCTAGAAGTGGAGTTGTGGCTCACATGGTAGCTTGACAGTCTTGAAAAGGCCAAGTGAGGACACCAGGGCCTAAGTTCAAGCCCCAGTATTGGCACAAAAGCAAAACAACAACAAAAAAGAATCCTACAGGGCTAAATGCTACAGTGTTCTCCTAATATTTTCAAAGTCTTGGGTTAAATCTCCAGGACTGGGGGAAAAAAAAAAATCAATCCTGGAAATAACACTCCAATAAATGTTAATTTATTAAAAGTTAATTCTGCCAGGTGCCAGTGGCACACGCCTGTAATCCTACATACTCAGGAGGCTGAGACTGAGAATCGAGTTTCAAAGCCAGCCCAGGAAGAAATGTCCTGAGACTTTCCAATTAACCACAGAAAACTGGAAGTAGAGCCCTAGCCTTGAGCTGAAGAGAGGAGGGACAGCACCCAGGCCCAGAAGTTCAAGCTTCATGAACAACAACAACAAAAAAGTTAATTCCATATAAAATTAAATTTCATTTTCTATAATTCTTTTGACTCAGAATTTTGCTATATACCCAAACTGGTTAAGAACCTGAGGTATAACAGGCTGGGAATATACACATGTACCACCATGCACTCCTCTAAATTGATTTTTAAGGAAATTACAAATTTAGTCAAACAAGTATATGAAAAGGTTCTTGTTCATTTTAACACTGTTAGATTACAAACCATACACGAAGCTCAAAATGACCTGTGACTAAATGAAATTTTTTTGAGGTATCACCTATTACTTTAACATATCAGAGGAATTTACATAACAGGCTAGAGAACAGAAATATGAGATAATCGGTGCTTCAGTTCCACCCATATTGTCTACTAAGACCACAGTGTGGGAAAAGGAGTGTAGATTCATGGCAGACGTTCCTTGGATGAAAGAGTTTAGACAAAATCTTCCACAAACACAAGTTTTTGCAGTATCCAAATCTTGGCAAAGGTGGAAAGGAATGATATGAGGGCCATATGGAATCCTATGGGGAAAAAATGTATTTTGTTACTAAATTCAGAACGTATATATCAGGACAGAAATTATTAGGACCCTGAATTATAATGACAGAAGAATAAGTTGCAACTTAAGAAGAGTCAGAACATTATTTTCACAACTGGTAAAAAAAAAAAAATGGGACAAATATACTACAAAATGATACACTGTGAACCTAAGATAACAATAATACCTAAGCAAAATCAAGACATTGGTTCACCATTTAAATTTCTAACACATAAGAGGCCATCTTCAGATTCTTAACTAGTTGATATGTGGTAGGGTCTACGGACCTACATCTCTTACCTACATTATTTAAGAGCTTTTCTTTTTTGTCAGTTATATGGCTTGAACTCCAGGCCTGGGCACTGTCCCTAAGATCTTTTGCTCAAGGCTAGCACTCTTTATTACTTGCTATACATTTATTCAGCTATTAAATGTGCAATATGAGCCAAGTACAGGGCCATCACATTTTTAGACTCTAGGACTATTCAGTACAAAGTAAAACAAACTCCATGCCCTCAGGAATCACATTGTCCTGAGAAAAACAGCCAGCAAACAAATGTTAAAAATTATGCATACAGGGCTGGGAAGGTGGCTCAGTGGTAGAGCACTTGCCTTGCATGCATGAGGCCCTGGGTTCGATTCCTCAGCAACACATAAGCAAAAAGAAAAAAGCCGGAAAGTGGCGCTGTGGCTCAAGTGGTAGAGTGCTAGCTTTGAGCTGAAGAGCTGAGGGACAGTGCCTAGGCCCAGAGTTCAGGCCCCACGACCGGATCCAAAAAAGAAAATTATGCATGCAAGCCAGAAGCCAGTGACACATGCCTGTAATTCTAGCTACTCAAGAGAATGAGATGTGAGGATAGAGGTTCAAAGCCAGCCTGGGTAGGAATGTCCCTGAGACTCTTTGGGGGGGAGGGGTGTCCAGTCGTGGGGCCTGAACTCCGGGCTTGGGCGCTGTCCCTCAGCTCTTCAGCTCAAGGCTAGTGCTCTACCACTTGAGCCACACCGCCACTTCTGGCTTTTTTTTCTTTTTGCTTATGTGGTGCTGAGGAATCGAACCCAGGGCCTCAGGCATGCAAGGCAAGCACTCTACCACTGAGCCACCTTCCCAGGCCCTTTCCCTGAGACTCTTATCTCCAACTAATCACCAGAAAACCAGAAGTGGCACTGTGGCTCAAGGGTAAAGCACTTGCCTTGAGCTGAAGAGCTCAGGGACAGTGCCCAGGCTCAAGAGTTCAAGACTCATGACAGACAGACACACATACACACACACATACAACACAAGGCTGTAAGTACTGTGACAATAATAAATAAGCCATGTAATGAGGTAAATACTTTTGTGTGTGTGTGTATATATGCTAGAGTTTGAACTAAAAGCCTTGCACTTGTTACGAATGTAGTCTACTTTAGCCACTCCTCCAGCCCCTTTTCTGGGTTGGCTATTTTCAATAGGATCTAGATTTATGTCCTGATGGACGGACGGTGCTTCCCTGAACAGCTGGGATGTCAGGTAGGCAGCTACACTGGTCAGGATGGAATCTGATTCTTCCTGACTAGCCTTGAACTGCAATCCTCCAATCTCCATCTCCCAAGTAACTAGGATTACAGGATGAGACATGGAATCTAGCATGGAATAAAACTTTTTTTGGAGGGGGGGGCAGGGAGGAATCCTGGGGCTTGAACTCAAGGCCTGGGCACTGTCCCTGATCTTCTTTTGCTCAAAGCTAACACTAGATTACTTGAGCCACAGCACTACTTCCTGCTTTTTCTGTTTATGTGGTACTGAGGAATCAAATCCAGGGCTTCATGCATGCTGGGCAAGCACTCTACTACTAAGCCACATTCTCAGAATAAAACTTTTGATAGGTGGAATAAATAAGAACTCTCTGGAATGATGTGTGGGCAGAAAACCTAATGAAGTGAGAGAGTGAGTTATAAGATTTCATGAAGGGTAATCATTCCAAGCAGAGATAAGGAACATCAAGAATGCTACCTGGGTGCTGGTGGCTCACACCTGTAATCCTAGCTACTCAGGAGACTTAGATCTGAGGATCACCGGTCAAAGTCAGCCCGGGCAGGAAATTCTGTGAGACTCTTATCTCCAATAAACCACCAGAAAATCGGAAGTGGCGCTGTGGCTCAAGTACTAGCCTTGAGCTCAAGAGCTCAGGGACAGCACCCAGGCCCAGAGTTAAAGCCCCACGATTGACCAAAAAACAAAAAGAATGCTACCACTTTAGCAATGATTCAAGATGTGCATAGAAATTCTACTGAGAAGTTCTATTAGTCTGTGACTATTACTGTCAGTTTCATGAGAATACTAGTACCACATTTTAGGACTATAAAGGTCTTACCTATTATTCAGTACAGTTCGCGCAGAAAGCTCCAGTAAAGTTAACGGTGCTTGCAGCTTTATAGTAGGAAGGACTTCTGGTGGTTCAAAAGGATTGCCAAAAAGATCCAAATACTCAAGGGATAACATTTTAAATTCACTAGGCAAAAATAGAAGCTTATTTCGAGCTGCTGATAAAAAATGAAGGTTTGTTAGCTGTCCTATCTTGAAAGGAAACCGAATCAACTGATTGTCATCAAGTTTTAAATCTGTAAGTTCGTGAAGCTGGCAAAACTGTATTGGAAGTGCCTTGATTTTGTTTTTGCTAAGATCCAAACTCCGAAGTGACTTTTGGAGTGTAGACTGACACAAGGCCACACTAAATGACTCCAGGTGGTTGTCGCTTAGGTTAAGTTCTTGAAGGTGTATGAGATCTCCAACTGTAGCTGGAAGTTTTTTAATATGATTGTGACTCAAGTCTAACTTCCTGAGGTTTTTTAAGCAAAGCATACGCATATCAATTCGAAGAAGCCCACAATAAGAAGTCTGAAGATGTTCCAGAAAATGTGGAAAATTCTTGTTTAGAGGATAGTCTTTTTTGGATGTGATAAGCATTTTGGTTTTAAATTTTTCAAATTCTGAAGTCTTCACTGGTGTGGGTGTTGAAAGCTGTGTATTGATACCGCAGCCTCTATAAGCTAGTCTCATAGCTGAAAGGAAACCCTTTAAGCTGCTCGCATTGGCCTGAATAAATAAAAGTTAGGCAAACAAATATTCCATTTTAGATAATGCACATATGGCTAGTTCTTCACATAAAAAATTCTGTAGTGGGGCTGGGAAGGTGGCTCAGTGGTAGAGCACTTGCCTTGCAAGCCTGAGGCCCTGGGTTCGATTCCTCAGCACCACAAAAGCAAAAGAAAAAAAAGCCGGAAGTGGCGCTGTGGCTCAAGTGGTAGAGTGCTAGCCTTGAGCTGAAGAGCTGAGGGACAGCGCCCAGGCCCAGAGTTCAGGCCCACGAACGGAACCAAAAAAAAAAAAAAAAGTAAAAGGAGTAAAATAAGCCAGGAACTGGCGGCTAGTGCCTCTAATCCTAGTTACTCAAAAGCTGAGATCTGAAGATTTTTTCAAAACAGCCTGGGCAAAAAAAGTCTGTGAAACTCTTTAACTCCATAAATTACCAAAAAAGCCAGAAATGAGACTGCAGTTCAAGGGGTAGAGCGCTAGCCTTGACCTGAAGAGCACAGGGACAGAGACCAGGCTGAGTTTAAGCCCCTGGACAAAAAAATAAATAAATAAAAGAAGATAAAATAAAGCTGGGAATGTGGCTTAATGGTGGAATGCTTGCCTAGCATGCATCAAGCCCTGGGTTTGATTCCTCAGTACCATATAAACAGAAAAAACTGGAAGTGGCTCTGTGGCTCAAGTGGTAGAGTAGCTAGCCTCTAGCAAAAGAAGCTCAGGAACAGTGCCCAGGTCCTGAGTTTAAGCCCCAAGACGGGCAAAAAAAAAAAAGAAAAAGGTAAAATAGAGTAAACCAGTGTACTGACCAAGAAAGAATGAGAAATAATGGCAAGTCACTAGCTCAAGGGAAGGCTGATCACGGATTTTTTTTTTGTCGGTTGTGGGTCTTCAACTCTGGACCTGTACTCTGTCCCTGAGCCTTTTAGCTCAAGGCAACGACTCTACCATTTGAGCCACAGCACCACTTCTAGTTTTCTGATGGTTAATTGGAGATAAGTCTCACAGACTTTCCTGCCTAAGTTGGCTTTGAACCCCTATCCTCAGATCTCAGCCTCCTGGGTAGCTAGGATTCTGGTGTGAGCCATGGGTGCCCAGGTTGATCACTGATCTCTGAGGCAGCATTCAATATGAATCAATTTAAAAAAAGGTTAAGCCGGGCACCAGTGGCTCACACCTATAATCCTAGCTACTCAGCAGGCTGAGATCTGAGGATCATGGTTTAAAGCCAGCCCAGGCAGGAATGTCCATCCGTCCGTGAGACTCTTATCTACAATGAACCAACCAGATAACCGGAAGTGGCACTGTGGCTCAAGTGGTAGAGCACTAGCCTTGAGCTGAAGAGCTGAGGGATAGTGCCCAGGCCCAGACTTTAAGCCACATAACTGACAAAAATAAATAAAGGTCAAAGCTGGGTGCTGGTGGCTCATGCCCATAAATCTAGCTACTCAGGAGGCTGAGATCTGAGGACTGCGGTTCAAAGCCAGACTCGGCAGGAAAGTCCATAAGATGAAATCCTTATCTCCAATTAACCACCAGAAAACTGGAAGTGGAGCTGTGGCTCAAGTGGTAGGGCTGGCCTTGAGTTGAAGAACTCAGGGACAGCACCCAGGCCCAGAGTTCAAGTCCCATGGCTGGCAAAAAATAAAAATAAAGGAGCTGGGAATGTGGCTTAGTGGTAAAGTGCTTGCCTAGCATCCATGATGCCCTGGGTTTGATTCCTCAGTACCACATAAACAGAAAAAATTGGAAGTGGTGCTGTGGCTCAAGTGGTAGAGCACTAGCCTTGAGCAGAGATTCAAGGACAGTTCCCAGGCCTTGAGTTCAAGCTCCAGGACCTGCAAAAAATAAATAGATAAATAAAAAATAAAAGTCAAACACTAAGACAAGGAAGGCCAATAGATTGAGTCTTTCTAGAAATCTGTCTAAACTGGTAGGACTTCAACTTGACAGGAAGGCAGAGTTAGTGGAAGGATGCATTAATCACAACAAGGAGGCAGGAACAATGTGAACAATGAGAACAATGTGAAGTTCAGGGCTAGTATAGTAGCTCAGTCATATACTACATGCTTGGCATACTCAAGGTCAAGGCCCAGGCCATTTTAAGGGTGGGGGATGGGGAGTTGAGAAAGATATTGTTCATACTATCTTGGTAGATTTTTTTTTTCTCTTGAAGTACTAGGGTTTGAACTCATGGCCTCCTAGCTTGCTAAGCAAGTAGTTCTTTATTACATGAGGCATGCCCCTAACCCAACCCATTTTTGTACTAGAGTTTTAATTCAGGGCTTTGCACTTGCTAGGCAGCTCCTACTCTTGTTAAAGAGGGAAGAAAAAAGACAGAGCAAAAGAAGGTTTACATTTTTTAATGGTCTATGTATTGAAAAATGATTATAAATAAAATACAAAAAAATAAAATAAAATAAAATACAAAAAAAGAAAGGGGCTGGGAAGGTGGCTCAGTGGTAGAGCGCTTGCCTTGCGTGCCTGAGGCCCTGAGTTCAATTCCTCAGCACCACATAAGCAAAAGGAAAAAAAGCCGGAAGTGGCGCTGTGACTCAAGTGATAGAGTGCTAGCCTTGAGCTGAGGGACAGCGCCCAGGCCCAGAGTTCAGGCCCCACAACCGGACCCAAAAAAAAAGAAAAAGAAAAAAAAAGAAAGAAAGAAAGAAAAGAAAGCCAGGTGCCAGTGGCTCATGTTTGTAATCCTAGCTACTCAGGAGGCTGAGATCTGAAGATCACATTTCAAAGACACCTGAGCAGTAAAGTCCATGAGTTTGTTATCTCCAATAGACCACCAGAAAACCGGAAGTGGCTCAAGTCTTAGAGCACTAGCCTTAAGCTGAAGAGCTGAAGGGACCATGCCCAGGCACCAGAGTTCAAGCCCCATGACTGGCCAAAAAAAAAAAAAAAAGATTAATATCATTGCATTTTATCTTTTACACTAAATTTGTAATATGAGATCTAGCTGACAAAATATGCATGTGTGCCATTTGTCAGTTTAAGAACATTAAAGCTCCCTCTTGGAAGCCATCTTGGCACAGAAGCAAACCCAGTTTTATTCTCATCCAGTACACCTCACCAAAGAAGCTTCTGGTCTTTTAGAGGCAATTAAGCTGCCTCTTTGTCATGGACTCTGCAGCACACCTATAAGAGCCCATACCTGTTTAGCTATGTGGGATATCAAGAAGCTTGAACCATCTTTTTTTTTGGGGGGGGGGTCCGGTAGTGGGGCTTGAACTCTGGGCTTGGGCGCTGTCCCTCAGCTCTTCAGCTCAAGGCTAGCGCTCTACCACTTGAGCCACAGCGCCACTTCCGGCTTTTTTCTTTTTGCTTATGTGATACTAAGGAATCGAACCCAGGGCCTCAGGCATGCAAGGCTAGCGCTCTACCACTGAGCCACCTTCCCAGCCCAAGCTTAGTCAGTTTTTGGTTTTGTTTTTGGGTCCGGTTGTGGGGCCTGAACTCTGGGCCTGGGCACTGTCCCTCAGCTCTTCAGCTCAAGGCTAGCACTCTATCACTTGAGCCACACTGCCACTTCCAGCTTTTTTCTTTTTGTTTATGTGGTGCTGAGGAATCGAACCCAGGGCCTCTTGCATGCAGGGCAAGCGCTCTACCACTGAGCCACCTTCCCAGCCCCTTGAACCATCTTTTTTAAAGAAAACACAGAAGGCAACTATCTGTAATTCTATACCTTACTCAGACGGATGTCCACAGGTGGCTCCTTTAACCTTACAGTGGCTTTCCCTTCATCCACAAATTTGGTGAAGAACTGCTCAATGTTCTCCTTTAGCTGCTTAAAACAAGGGAAAAAGAGACAAAAACAGATAGTTACTCAATATTGTTCACTTTTTCTAGCTTTGGTTTGGCTTTTAGTCCTAAAGATGAAATGTTTTAATTTCGTCCTTTTTAAAGTTTCAAGATTTTTGGGAAATATATATATTTTTTAAATGTAACCCAGGTTTGCCCCACTATTTGAGCCATGCCTCTATTTCCAGCTTTTTGCTAGTAAATTGAAAGTAAAAGTCTCACAAAAGTCCAGACTGGCTTTTAACTGTAATCCTCGATCTCAATCTCTTGAATAACTAAGGTCCAGCTTACCTTAGAGTTTTTATCTTCTTGCCTCCACTTCCCCAGTGCTAAGATTATAGTTATGTACCACTATGGCCAGCCCTGATTGTTTTTTATTGTAAGGGTGTGGTTTGGTTGATTTATTTTTAAAGCAGTTATAGTTATAACTCTATGTAGCGTGTGATAGATATTACTACCTTATCTGTCCAGATTCTTTCTTGGGAACAGAATCCCGTATTTTTTGAATAATCACGTATAGTAATAATAGCCAGTAGCAGTTATTTGTTTTCATAACCTCAAATTATTATTATTATTTTTTGGTTGTGGGGCTTGAACTCTGGGCCTGAGTGCTGTCCCTCAGCTCTTCATCTCAAGGCAAGCACTCTACCACTTGAGCTACAGCACCACTTCCAGTTTTCTAGTGTTTTATTGGAGGTAAGAATTTCATGGACTTTCCTGCCCGGGTTGGCTTTGAACCGTGATCCTCAGATCTCAGCTTCCAGCTTCCTGAGTAGCTAGGATTACAGGCGTGAGCCACCGGCGCCTGGCTATAACCTCAAATTATTACTCTGGGAGGGAGGGGCATAAGAATCAAAATTTTGTCGGGCTTGCTACTGTTAACCTCAGAGCTAGAGCTCTGACTGACATATAAAATTTTGGACTAGGGCTGGGAAGATGGCTCAGTGGTAGAGTGCTTGCCTTGCATGCATGAGGCCCTGGGTTCGATTCCTCAGCACCACATAAGCAAAAGGAAAAAAAGCTGGAAGTGGCGCTGTGGCTCAAGTGGTAGAGTGCTAGCCTTGAGCTGAAGAGCTGAGGGACAGCGCCCAGGCCCAGAGTTCAGGCCCCACGACTGGACAAAAAAAAAAAATTACCCAGGTGCCAGTGGCTCATACCCGTAATCCTAGCTACTTAGGAGGCTGAGATGTGAGGATCTGACGATCCAAGTCAGCCCAGACAGACAAATCCCTGAGATTCTAATCTCAAATTAACCATCAAAAGCTGGAAGTGGAGGCATGGTACAAGTGGTAGAATGCCAGCATTGTGGGAGAATGGAGGAGCCAAGCAAGAACCCAAGGCTGATTTCAATCCCCAATACCAATTTTTTTTTTTAAAAAAGCAAAACAAAACAACAAACAGCCAAAAGTTTGATGCTACTAGGGACACTGAAATCTGAGGATAGAGATTCAAAGCCAGCTTAGGCAGACAAATCCATGGGATGCTTATCTCCAATTAACCAGCAAAAATCCAGAAGTGCAACTGTGACTTGCATGGTAGAGCACCAGCCTTGAGTGAATAAGCTGAGCCACAGCGTGAGGCCTTTAGTTCAAGTCCCAGTACTGGTGCACACACGTGCACAAACAAGAAACACAGCTTAATGCAAGAGTGGATAAAGTGTTCCCTCATCTTGGTAGCTAACCAAGATATAGCAGCCACAAAATAACAATGACTGATAATGGAGAAGATCAAATTTCAACTTCTAACTAGAGAATTTACCACAGCTCTGCAGACACAAAAAAAGCACTGGACCTACCTAAGGAATCAAGCGCTGGACCTAAGGAATCAAGCACTGGACCTAAGGAATCAAGCGCTGGACCTAAGGAATCAAGCACTGGACCTATGGAATCAAGCGCTGGACCTAAGGAATCAGAGTAAATACAAGAAAGACAGACAGGAGAGACCAGGAAGGGAGGGGCTGGGAATGTGACTTTGTCTATAGAGTGTTTGCCTAGTGTGTTTGAAGCCCTGGGTTCCATTCCTCGGTACCGCATACACAGAAAAAAGTGGAAGTGGTGCTGTGGCTCTAGTGATAGAGTGCTAGCCTCAAGCAAAAGCAGCTCAGGAACGGTGCCCAGGCCGAGTTCAAACCGAGGGGAGAAAAGGGGAAAGGAGGGGAGAGGAAAGGAGGGAACGGAGGGGAGGGGAGGGGGGAAGGGAGAGAATCCAATAACCAATAACTTCGATGCAAACAAAAGCCTGTTTAATATGCATCAGCTATTAAAAGGGGGCGGGGAGTGAACTCCAGAAAAGACGGTGGGAGAAACAACGTACCGAGTGAAAATGCAGTTATGAGAGCTTCCACGCAGGCTAAGCCGTTCGGGGCTTTAAGAGGGCGGCACCGCTACCTATCATTGAACGGCCACGCAGTAAACCGAGCAGCAGAACGGGGCGAGAACAGTAACGGGGGAACAAAATGTCACTGCTCACAACGTTTCTGACAGGCCCGAGGGCCGTGGTGGTAGTGGGAAGCCAGGGACGGGGGCTCGGGGCTCGCACCACCCCCCAAGGGCCCGGGAAGGAAGAGCTGAGCCCCCGGCCCGGCCGTACCTGGTAGCGGGTCCCGTGCCGGTCCTTCATGGTGGAGATGAACAGGAAGGCGGGGGGCTGGCTATCGGGGTCACTGCTGGCTTGGGGGCGCCGCTGATTCCCGGCCGACTGTTGACAAAGACTTACTACGGCCCGGACGCCCTTGCCACGGTTCCTCAGCCCCAAGGCTGGCAAGTGTCGGCTGACCACCTCCACCTCGCAGTGCAGCTTCATCCTGCAGGAGCCCGGGCCACCGAGGCCCCTGAGCTTTGAAACTTCCTCCTTCCCGCCACGCCGAGCAGCCGCCGGGGTCCTCGAGCGCTCAGGCTGCCCGGGGATCCGCCTGCTCGATACATGAAGGGGTCCCGGGTTTTCTGAGTCCCCCTGGGAGAAATATTTCATCTCTTCAGGTATTAATGACTCTTGACTGTGTTCACGAGCCTGGGAAGTGCGCATTTCGATAGCTTGAGGACCAGACTTGGGCCCTTCGAAGCGGGCGTTCGGCGAGGACGCTACGTCGGGATTGCCGTGCGCGCGGTTGGGGGCGGAGTTCTTGTTTACAGTGGGCTGTGTCTCACCTGTGAGCGCGCTCATCCGTCTCACCTGGGTCTCACCTGTGAGCGCGCTCATCGGTCTCACCTGGGTCTCACCTGTGTGCGCGCTCATCCGTCTCACCTGTGAGCGCGCCCTCCGTCTCACTGGAAGGCGGTTCCCTGTAGAAGGCCGGTGTCAAGCTGTGTTTTTGGAACACCACGAGTGGTTATCATAAAAGCCAGAGATGAGGACTTGACAAGCTGGCGGTGTTGTGTCTATGGCGACGACGGAGATGACTGCAGTTAGCTCGGCAGTCACTGTCCGACGGCTGTGACTCCGCCTCGCGGGCCGCTGGATGAGAATTGTCCGAGACGCGGGACGTCTGTCCAGACCCCGCGGGACCTTCCCTTTCCTTACTCCCTTTATGGAGCCACTGAGCGCCCGCCTGTGATTTAATCATAAATGAACGTTCCTATTTAAACATAGCAGTTGAAATGTTGTCTGTCGATTCCACTTTGTGAAAAGCGTACTTGATTCAGGAAAAATAGTGACGAAGATAATAAATTGCCGCCACCCCCCGATTTTCAAAGACTATTGCACTTCATAGGACTTGTCTTTTTTATTTAGCTTTTCTATATACAGAAGAAAACCAAATGCCAACCTGAATTGTTACAAGAATATTAAATATGGGGCTGGGAAGGTGGGTCAGTGGTAGAGCGCTAGCCTTGAGCAAGAGAGCTGAGGGACAGTGACTAGGCCCAGAATTCAACCACCACAACAGACAAAAACATAAGAATATTAAATATACCTAATCTGTCTGTCTCCCTCCCCCCTTCATCCTCCCCCTCCCCTCCCATCCCCTCCATACCTCCTCTTTCTCTCTTCTCTCTCCTTCCTCTCCTCTCTTGTCAGTTATAGGGCTTGAACTCTGCCTGGGCCCTATCCCTGAGCTCTTTTGCTCAAGGCTACTGAGCCACAGCGCCAGTTCTGGTTTTCTCATGGTTAGTTGGAGATAAGAGTCTCACAGACTTTCCTTCCTGAGCTGGCTTTGAATACTGATCCTTGGATCTCAGCTTCCTGGGTAGCTAGGATTACAGGTGTGAGCCACCAGTGAGAGGCATACTTAACCTCTTGACAAGTGAGGATGATATGATGGAAGTAGTTTTATTTGTGTGTATGAACATAGAACAATGAAACTGGCAGTGATGGTTTAAGAAGGGAGTTAAGGGAGAGTTATAGGTGGGTTCATCCAGATCCATTAGATACCTGTGTAATGACAGAACAGGGAACCCCTCCCTCTCGTACAAGTAATGTATGTTCGATCTCCATGGAGCACCTTGTAAATGGAAATCCTTGGGATATTCCTTTCTGAGAGCTCAATCTTGTACTTTAAGACATGCCATATTTCATCCAGCATGTTTGAATGTTTTTGGCAAAGGAGATTTTAAGGTCATTCTCTCCAAAATATTGCTATATTGTTGTTTAATGTGTGTATTCACTTCCTGACTACAGGCTTTCTGGGATCTGAGTCATGAGTGTTATATGCAAGGCCTAGTGTAGTATTTACACAGAGTAGGTATTTAATACATATTTGTAGAAAGAATAATCAATGGCACACATATGTATTTGATTTAATAAATAAATTTTATTCATTTAACAATACTTAAGAGAGTTTATATTGCGCTAGATTCAAGCAAGGTTACATTCAATTTATATTGCTATGTGTAAGTAGCTGGCCATTTGGGGTAGATGCTTCATTTCTCTATCTGGGGAGACAGTGAAATAGATTTTAGATATAAGATTCAAATTGGGCTGGGAATGTGGCTTAGTGGTAGAGTGCTTGCCTAGCATGCATGAAGACCTGGGTTTGATTCCTCAGTACCACATACAGAAAAAGCCAGAAGTGGTGCTGTGGCTCAAGTGGTAAAGTGCTAGCCTTGAGCAAAAGAAGCTCAGGGATAGTTCCCAGGCCCCGAGTTCAAGCCCCAGGAGTGGAAGGAAGGAAGGAAGGAAGGAAGGGAGAAAGAAAGAAAGAAAGAAAAGGAAAGAAAGAAAGAAAGAAAGAAAGAAAGAAAGAAAGAAAGAAAGAAAGAAAGAAAGATTTAAATAAAAATTGAGCTGAGGGCTGGATACCGGAGGCTTGTTCCTGTAATCCTAGCTACTCAGGAGGCTGAGATCTGAGGATCACAATTCAAAGCCAGCCTGGCCAGGAAAGTTCATGAGACTCTTATCTCCAGATAACCACCAGTAAGTGGAAGTAGCTCAAGTGGTAGAGTACTTGCCTTAAGCTGAAGAGCACTGTGACAGTGCCCAGGCTTATGGTAGAAGCCCCATGACTGACAAGGAAAAAAACATTGAGCTGAGAGCTTAGCTCAAAACTTACTTAGCCAAAGCCAGGCGCCGGTGGCTCACGCCTGTAACCCTAGCTACTCAGGAGGCTGAGATCTGAGAATCTCCATTCAAAGCCAGCCCAGGCAGGAAAGTCCATGAAACTCTTATCTCCAATAAGCCACCAGAAAACCACAAGTGGCACTGTAGCTCAAGTGATAAAGCACTAGCCTTGAGCTGAAGAGCTGAGGGACAGCACTTCAGGCCCAGAGTTCAAGCCCCATGACCTACAAAAAAAAAAAACAAAACAACCAAAAAACAAACAAAACTTACTTAGCCAGCACAAGGCTTTGACTTCAAATACAGGTACTACAAAACAACTATAACAAAGCTGAAAATATAAAAGGATAATATGAAAACACATTGTTTTTCCTTTTATCGTGCTGGGAATTAAACACAGGATCTTGGGTTGGGCCTTTACTATTGAGTCATATCAAACACAAATCTTTTTAAGAATTTACATAGAGGTGTGAAGGGGGAGGAGTTGAGGGTGGGGGAGCTGGGGAAGGAGGGACAGACAAGGAGGGGAAAGGGGAGAGATTTCCTTTCTATTCCTTTGAATTGAGATACATCTCAGTGCTTTGGCCTTTAGGACTCTAGTTTCTTCAGGTCTTTGGACTCTAGGACCTATAGTAGTGTACCTCTGGTTCTCAGGCCTTCAGCCTCAGTCTGAGGTGCCCTTGGTTTTTCTAATTCTGAAGCTTTTGGTTTGAGTCATGCTATTGGTATCTCAGGTTCTCTAGTTTATAGATGGCATTGGAGCTAATCCCTTAATAAATTGTCTGTCTGTTTGTCTGTCTATCCATTCTGTTGGTTCTGTCTCTCTGGGGAAAACTGAGTTATACAATATTGGTACCAGGATTGGTTCTAGAGACATTGAATTTTATTTATTTATTTATTTTGATTTATTTTTGGGTCTGGTCATGGGGCCTGAACTCTGGGCCTGGGCACTGTCCCTCAGCTCTTCAGCTCAACGCTACCGCTCTACCTTGAGCCACAGCGCCACTTCCGGCTTTTTTCTTTTTGCTTATGTGGTGCTGAGGAATCGAACCCAGGGCCTCATGCATGCAAGGCAAGCGCTCCACCACTGAGCCACCTTCCCAGCCTAGATTTGGAGGTTTTTAATTATGAGTTCAAAGTAGTATATATGATTCCTATTAAGAGATTTATCTAATATATTAATCCCAAATTTGGCAAACCATCAGCAAACTGTCATCTATCATTAAATCTGAACACAAAACATTTTCAGAGCAGTAGAAAATTCCCAGAATGCCAGGTACAATTGTAGGCAACATAGTTAGAAAAACCCGAAGTTTTTGAATCTGAGATAGCTGACTAGTACCTAGGCCTGTTAAAGACTCCATGAGGATACTACCTGCTTTCACATCACCAGTAATCCCACCAGTAGCTATCAGTGCTTTGTAGACAAAGCCAAAGGTATTTGCAGGCCAGTGTCTCTGGTGTTCTCACTCAGTCCAGATAGGAGAATAGACAAAGATCCTGCCTCAACTGTTCTCTTGAAAAAGGCCTGTGCTTATAGAAGTTGGTGGAAATACTCTGCTTTTTTTTTTCCTGTTAAATGTGGTGCTTGAACTCAGTGCCTAGATGCTGTCTCTGAGCTCTTTAGCTCAAAGCTAGCATTCTACCGCCTTGAGCCATAGCTCTACTCTAGTTTTCTGGTGATTAATTGGAGATAAGAGTCTCAGGGACTTTCTGCCCCAGCTAGCTTTGGCCCCCATCTTCAGATCTCAGCCTCTTAAGGAGTTAGGATTACTGGTGTGAGCCACTAGTGCCTGGCATATTCTGCTTCTTTAGTTCAATTACATATCATTGAGTCAAATAAAGTAGAAAGTGGAAAGGACTATAACAGAATTGTTTTGTATCTGTACAGATTTTCAAGAGCTAAGGGCAGAATTCCAGGTCATATCTGAGTTTTAAATCTCTGACCCAGCCAGGTGCATGTGGCTCATACCTGTAAACTTGGTACTTAGGACCCTGAGGATGTTGATTCGAAGCCAGCCTGGGCAGAATAGTCTATGAGCCTCTTATCCCCAAAAAACTACTCAAAATAATAGCTGGAAGTGGTGCTGTGGCTGAGTGTTAGCCTTGAGCACAAAGAGTGGTAGAGCCTTGAACACAAGAGGCTCAGGGACAGTGCTCAGGATCTGAGTTTAAACCTCAGGACCAACCAGCAAAACAAACAAATCTCAGATCTTGTTTCTTTCATTACATGTTAGTAACAATGATTGCAGAGACAGATCTGAATGTAGCTGTAAAAAAGATTAATTCACAGTGATTCATTGTGTACCCCTACTTGGTGGCAGAGATGGAACCCAGGGTCTCAAGCT